CACTAAGGCGCCAGGCCCCCCCCTCCTCGCCGCCGCTTTTTCTTTCCACATTCATCTTAGTGACCCCCCACCTGCTCATCGTCCGACAGCACCTCGTCGTCGCTCTCCTGCCCCTCCTGATACTCCTCGTCCCCGCTCTCCATCTCGCGCCCCCCCAGCCGGCTGCTGTCCGCCACCGGGATCTCGTCCGGCCCCAGATCCACGTCCCGCGGCCGCGACTCGACTGCGCGCACGCGGCCAAAAACCGAAACGCGACGCCGTCACGACTCGGCCGCAGCAGCCATACAGTGAGCACGACCGCGCCCCCAATGGGCTTTGCCCCGCAGTCAGCACAGCCCGTGGGTGCAGCCGCGTCCCGTGACCCAACGTCACCGCCAGGGCCCCCATTTGAGCCGTCCCCGTGCCCACCGAGTGCGATGCATCGCTCTGTGATGAGCTCAGCCAGGTTGATGTTCTCTTCCTCGTCAGTTTCGGGGTACCGCACGTGCGCGGTCAGCATGGGCACGTCCAGCTGCGGGGCGCAAAGGGGTGCGCGTGCGTGCTCAGGGGCGAGCCTGCTGAAGGGTGTCGCGCGGACACCTCTGGCAAGGCAACAACGCTGGGCGGTCGTTGCCGAGGCCGTCGCGCAGCCGCAGCGCGTGGCGCGTGCTCAGCTCCGCACCTTCTCGATCACAGCGGCATACCACACCCCGTCGTCCGGCCACAGCACGTGCACCTCGTGCGCCAACAGCGCCGGCTGCACGTCCTCGACGCGCAGGAGCCGATACACCTGCCGCTCCTTCTTGGCGCGCTTACGAGCACCTGAATGAGTGATAATCGACATGGGTGCGTTTGACATGCCCGCATGCGCGCTGTCCAGTGCAAAGTGCCGCCAGATTGCTCGACCCCGTTCAAGCCCGATCCTGCATACCTGAGTAACCTTCAAACTCGGCCAGGTGCTTGGGAGGCTTCACCTCCCGCTTGGCCGGCCCCATTGTGGTGATCTCCCGTGTCAAAATGTTCCAGCTCAATCCGCCATGGTGGGGTAGACGGTGCGCAAACAAAGGAGCGCTTGTCTCAGCTCCGTGGCCCACTGCCGGCGTATCAGATTTGTGCCTATCAGCATGTCGTGCGCCTGCCACCGTTGGCCTCGTGGTGCCGGGTGACATCCAGCCGGCTGCCGACGAGGGGGCGTCGCCACCACGGCCGCCGCTCCCACAATGGGCAAACCCACGTGTCGACGTCTATTGCCCCTGCGAGACGGGGACAGGCCCCCCCACCAGAAGCCTTTTCGCCCCACCTCGAGCATCGGCAAACGCCGCGCACGCCGGCGGCCTTCCACTGAAATCTGATGAAAAAAGTCATGACAGGCACGTGAGCGCCGCGACCAACCGGTGTCGCAAGCGCCGGGCTGGGGGACCGCTGACCTGGCTTATGTGATGCTGACCTTGATGATGTGATAGGTTGGGAAAGCTCTTGCGCTGCCTTGCAATTTCGCGCAAGCACTTACATTTACAGAATACGGCTGTTAGGTCGGGGAAAAGCCATCTATGATCACAAACTTGGCAATGTAGAGCCTAACATCGACATTGGTTAGCGGTTCGCTTGGGCGTTAAAGAACCGCCACCCTGCCACCACGCATGAATCCGATGCCGGAATGCTGGTGTAGAGGCGCAGCCTGCAGGCCCAGCGCCCCTCCCGTCCAAGCCGTGCAAGGTGCGCACGCACGCATGGAACACACACTGCGCCCACGGCTGAGGCGCATTTTTTCAGCGCCCACCGCGCCTCAAGCAGAGCTCGCGACCGACACCAGCCACGAAATCGCAGCGCAAGCGAGCCGATGGACAGCATCCGCTGCAACAAGGCGTACCTCCCCCCATCGTCAGCCCCTTCTGGCAAGCCGCGGCCCAGCGGCCCGCGGAATCTACGCGCCGCCCCCCAAGTTGGCTGCGCCCTCGCCGTCTGACGACGCGAGGCACCTGTCCACCATGCTGAGCAGGGCGGGGTTCTCGAGGGCGGCCGCGACGCGCTCCTTGTCGTTGAGCTGCTTGTTTACGGCCGCCTCGGACACGTGGGAGCCCGGCGATAGCTGGGGGTGGTTGCAGTGGATGGGAGCGTTGGGGTGAGGCGTTGTGCGGCCCGTGAGCGAGTAGCGGGGTGAGGAGAGGGATAATGGCATTATGGGAGGGAAGGCGGTGGATGACGTGGGTGCGCTCATGCAGGGTGCGGCTCAAAAACACTGGAGCGAGCGTGTCCAGGTGAAACAAGGCGGGACCGTCCCCGCCAAGCTAGGGGCTCTCCTGACCATCCAGCGCCACTGGACCACCCTCATGAGTACGAATGCATCCACAATTACACGCACGCCCGTGCACCACAAGAATGCATGAATGCATGGGTGCAACGCGATATGTGCTGTCTGTGCAAGCAATACACACAAATGCGCACACGCACGCGCTCACATCCCGCGCCCCCACCCCCCGTGCACGTGCCCACCTGTATGTCAACCTTGAAGCGTGTCGGAAGGCACCGCAGTAGCTTGACACGGATGCAGAGGCCGATGAGCGTTGCCATGCTGCAGTGCTCCACAGTAGGGGTGAACTGCACCCTGAGGGTGTGTAACAGGGCGCGATGGCCATGTTGACTAAGCAGCTTGCTGCTAGGCAAGAAGGCCTGAACCGCGAGGCTCACAGTCCTGCCAACGATCATTGAAACTGCACGTGCAACAGCTGTTGCAGCACCCTCAAAATGCGCAACTTGTGTGAGCTCTTTCGCGCGAAGAAGCCCGTTCAGGCGGCGCATGTGCTGAGGGCATCCTCTGCAGGTCTAATGGCTGCTCCTCCTGGCCAGCAGCGACAGCAGAAGCAGCAGCAGCAGCAGCAGCAGCAGCAGCGGCGGCGGCGGCGGCGGCGGCAGCAGTGGCGGCAGCAACAGCGACTGCAGCAGTGGCAGCAGCAGCATCAACCAGCAGCAGTCGGCTGGGGTCGCACCTGACCGTGCCCCGCACGTCGTCCACCTCTATGTGAGCCTCATCCAGCACGTTCAGCTGCTCCAACGTGTAGGGGTGCTCGGGGTCCGTGATGTCGCGCAGGTGCTCAAACACCTCCAGGCCGTCGATAGGCTCTCGGCCCGCCGCTAACTCGGCTGCGCTGGTAGCGTCGAGGATGCCGCTGCCGCAGCTCGCTACGGGGCCATTAGCGCGCCGCTGGGTGTGGCGGCGAGCATGGATGACGGGGTTGGGATTGATGAGCTCTTCCATGGCAGCTGTGGCTGTTGCTGGTCAGGGCCGGGTGAGCTTGCTTGCTCAGCAAGTGGGCCAGCGCTCACAGCACACACTGCATGGCCCCGGAGAGGCTGGCGCTCGCGCTGCCCTCTGGCCGAGGTGCTGGAACGTGAGGCTCCAGCAGGAAACACTCGCTTTCAGTTGCGGACGCGTCGGTGTGGTTGTCCCAGCTGCTGCCGTATTTTGAGTGCCAAGGAGCCACGTTGGGCGAATAGGGGCCTTTCTGATGACGGCACGTCTGCCAAATCAAAAGCAGCGTGGCTGCAGTTATGACTTTGTCATAGCATTGTCTTAAACGGCTCGCTCCCATTGCCACTTCATGGATTTTCCATGATCTGTGCGCCAGATCACTCAGCCGCAGCTCGTGCCCAGGGCCCGAAACAGTATTCGTACAATATCATTCACAAAACTGCTACTCACATATGTCAGCAACCTGCTGCTGACTCCGGGACCAGCTCCTGCGGCCCCTCATTGCAGGCCTGCGCTCCCGCCAAAATGGTTGGTGACAAGCTGCAGCGCACAAATACTGGGTCCGCCAGCTCTCCACACACGCCTGCCCGCACCACGCCTTGCTTTCCTGTGAATCTGCTGCCCTGGGTTGCGTGATACGCCTGCACAGCGACGAGCGAGTGCAGGATCATGCTTGACGCTGGTCACAGGCGTTGCTTGGGAACATCGGTCGTGTATGCTGCATGTTAAGCAGCACCACTGGCGTCAGCCATTCAGATGTGAGGCCGCTGGCGGGGCTTGCACGCAAGCGCTGATGGGCGGTAGTATCACCCGACGTATGCACGCGGGCGTAGTCCGCACAGCACTTGCATGAACAATACCAGGGCAGCATGCAGCTGTACTGTATAGAAACAGCGGTTGAGTGATAGCATGACAGCAAAGCAAGCTAGGCTTTGAGTTCATAGGTCCTCCTAGAAACGCTCCTAGAATCAAATCCGACAGCGCTTGCCAGGAGAGTGGTGGTGTGACAATGTGAGTGATGTGCCACCGACAAACATTACATTACGTGCCTATTACGCGGATCCACTGGCTTTCAGATCAAAGACTATCATATCTCAGCTCCCTACCTGGGAGTCGTAGTCAGTCGTCACCGTCGCACTGGGCGGGGGGGTCGGTGCAGGAGCAACAGGCGAGAGCGCACGAAGCGAATGGTTCCAAGTTTCATCAAGACGTATCACAAATCAACTGAACAACGTTACTTAAAGAGTGTTTCCCACTCTCTTCGTGGCAAGCCTGTATGATATCATACAGTATCATAAGCAATGTTGGGTGCATCAGCGCAGGGTGAAAGATCATCGTGACTCTGACTGTTGTGTGCGAAGACCCCACATACGTATGTCGCGTAGCCTCTTATATTGAACAAATATGATACACTTTGATCGCCTCATTGACGCAGAAAATCTTGTCAGCTCGGCCCATACAATCGACTTTTCAGCAATCCGCAAACGTGCGGGTGCCTACCGACCGAAGCGGAGTTGAGGGTCATCTTGGACGGCTGCAAGGCGCCGTCGAGCCCGGGTGAGCCGAGCCGGTGCTATGTTGTGCTTGCCTTGTCGACAATGATGTGTTTCCCACCAAATTGAGCTGCTATTACAGCTTGAATTGGGCAAGCTGGTGTATGCTGTTGCTGCTGGGCCTCGGCGGCACTCTGATAAGCCCACTCCGGCCACAGAGGCCCGCGCAGCTCACCTTCTCGCTCGGGCGTCGCTCCTGCACACGCGGCAGTGGGTGGTCTCTGCAGGCTGCCACGCAGTGGCCAGCTCTGGTGTGCATTTTCATGATTTCTGCTGCGGTGTGGTCACTTTACGGCTAGCCATATGCGTTTGTTCCAGCAGCAGCAGCAGCAGCAGCAGTGTCACGATGTATCAAGTGGCGATAGGTTGCATGCGTTCGCGGCCGTCAGCTGTGCTGCGCTGGGCTTGATGACCTCGCTGCCATGTCGCTGAACAGGGGCGCGCAGACGTCGGCTGCTGGGGCTGCTGCTTGACTGCATGCCACCCGTGTTTGGGCGTGGCTCAACTCCCTGCAGTTGTTTCTGTGCTCTCTTTTCGCAGGCCGCCCACCCACATGCAGCCACAGCCAGCAGACGTGCGGGATGCAGTGCGGACGCGCATGCTTGCTCTTCCAGGCCTCACGGAGGAGCAGCGGGCAGACATATTGCTGCAGCTGCCCCTCCAGTCAGCAGGCCTGGTGAACACCATGTTCCTTGTGCAGGATGATGCACTACTGGTGATGGCGCAGAACGGCATCCTGTCCGGTGAATGGGAGGCTGTTGGGAGGTGCATGGCTGCTCGTGAATACCAATGCATGGCCACAGGTTGGCATGAACAACCGCGCATGAAGCTTGACGATGTAGGCATTGAGAGCTGTGTGTGGGCCATGCATGCTTTGCGCACACAAAAGGTCGCAATGATGAAGCTGCTGGAAGCTGTTAGGCAGTTTTTCATGGTGGTTGAGACACTGAAGTTTAGTGAGTCACCCCTGCGATCCCTTTCACCGTGCATGCGCGGCATGTGCGGGCCCCTCAATGTCAGGCGCGGCCAGTGGGGGTCCTTCCACCTCTGGTATGCAAGGTCCTGAGATGTGTCTGGTGGGGGTTTGCCATGTCATTGCCTTGATAATACCATGTTATGGGGTTGGCACCGCTGCTGTCTGGGCGTCCCTGCCGTTGTGCCACTGCATGGTGCGTTAAAGTGGCTTGCCTGCTGCAGGTGTTGTGAGCAGCCTGCACATTGTGGACTGGCTGCGGCAGCCTATGGCGGAGCTCAAACTGCGCACAAGCGAGCGTGCATCCAACAGCAAAACCAAGGCGACGTATCCAAGGACCTTCAGCGACATCAAGCCCTGGCAGGATTTTGAGCCTGGCGTCAACCGCATGCTGGCGGAGCTGCAGCCGACAACGCACATGTGCCAGCGGGTGGTGGGTTGCCATTTGGGAATGCGAGTTCGTCGGTGCTGCTGCTGTGTGTGGGGTCGTTGCCATGCAGCAAGCACAACGGATTGGGCTGTATTGCAGGCACGCAGCTATGGGCGCCCAGAATGTTGACTGTGCTGCTGCTGCAGGTGCATGAGGCGGGTGAAGCCCCGGGCACCCCTGGTGTATGGGCCGCAGCAGCGGACGAGAGCGAGATCCGCGGTGCCCTGTTGTTTCACCTCTACCAAGTGACGAGCGTGGCCAAGCGCCTGCTGGGGCTGGGTGAGTCCACTTCCGAAGGCCGCAGAGGTTGTGATGAATTTCCTGCAGCTGCAGCTCGCATTGCACTGCGGCCATGCGCTCAGCCTTCGTGCCGCTGCTGCTTTAGCAGTTTGCGGGTGGTGACCTCGCACAACCACCTGCTTCCGCGCAGACATGGAGTACGTGGGCAGTGGCAGCGGGCGCAGCATGGCGTTTCAGGACCTGCTGATGCGCAAGTCTGGCAGCGGCAGCGACCGCGCCAACCTCAGCAGACTGATAATGGCTTCGATCGAGGTCAAGGGCGCCTGGCAGACCCCGCTGCCCGCTGGCATGAGCCTCGATGACGCCCTTCACGACAGCAACCTGGGCAAGAGCATCATGCCAGCGTTGCAACAGGTGCGGCCAATTGCATGGCCAGTGCACAAGCGGGCATCAACCCGAGGAGGGGGCAGCGTGTCTCATGATGGCTGAGAAGCTGCGCTTGGGCGCTGGCAGCACGTACACGAGATGGCTGTGTGCAGGGGGCAAGCGGTTTGTCACCCCCGGCTGCTTACAAGTGCTGTCCTTTTGCTGGCCACTACTACAGGCGTATGGTGATGCTGTCATGGACGAGACGCCGTTCTTCATGCTGTCCACATACGGTGTCACGTTCTTTCTGATGCGGGTCGTAAACGACGTGACCAACAAAGTGCTCTTCGCCTCGCCGCCCGTGTGGTGGAATGGCGCCAGCGGCATCCCGCCTTATGCGGCCTGGCTGTACTGCCTGCAATTGGCAAGCCAGCTGACGCTGGATGTCAAGCAGCAGCTGCCGCGCAGCTTGACGCCTTCTACGCCGCCATATGGGTACCCGCGCGGCAGCGGCAGCAGCGATGACGGCGGCGCCGGCAGCAGCGGCAATGCAACAGGGCGCGTGACCGCTCCCACACGCACGCAGCCCGACCGCCTCGCCAAGCGCCAGCGTGGCGGGTCAGCCGGGCAGCCAGCAGGCGCATGCACAGCACGCAAGCCAGAAGGCGGTGTTAGGGACAGCGCCTGCACCAGCGGCATGTCAGCTGCTGCGTTCAGCACTCAGGCGTGGCTCGACGCAGCCAGGCCTCATGCTGCAGTGGACGCTGTACTTGACCTCCCGGAGCTCTCTTACAGCCTGCTGGGCATCAGCGGCACCTACCTGGGGGGTAGCAGCAGCCATCGCGTTTTCGAGGTTGGTTCATGCGCAGCAGCGTGCCGCTGCAGCATGTGCATGTGAGCACATGCACGCATGCACATGGAAGATTGCACGCGGCTTGAATGCACGCAGCTTCACGCTGTCGTCAGGTCAACCTGGCTCGCTGCAACGTGTGACACCCCTTGACGGTTCTCTTGCATTTCTATTCATTGGCAGGGGCGCATCAACGAGCAGCCAGCTGCTGTGAAGGTGTTTGATTTCTACGACGACTTTGCATGTGCGGACTTCGTGCGAGAGGTCGACGCCTACATGCAGCTGCAGCCCCTGCAGGGCAGCTGCATCCCGGAGATGCTGACAGTAGGGCGCCTGCCGCACAGCGGCCACCCCGTGCTGGCAGTTCGGCTGGGCGAGCCTGTGCATCAGCCCGTCACACCAGCAGTAGCAGCAGGCATCAGGCACGCACTGAAGCAGCTGCACGCAGCAGGCGCGGCCCACGGCGACGTGCGGCTGCAAAACATGCTGATGCAGCCAGGAGAGCATGCCCATGTGCTGCTCTGCGACCTGGAGCGCTGCATTCTGCGCGCCAACGATGAAGCGTTGGCCGCAGATGAGCAGGAGCTTGAGTCGCTGCTGCAGCCGTAGGTTGGTAACATCCCTTGACCTGGCACCGTTTCGCGTGTGGGCAGCTGTGCTGTGCAGGAATCGACGGCCCTGGCTGGTCAGAGCAGGCGCTGGAACGTACCGTTTGAGAGAGTGTGGGGGCTTCGCTGTGTTGCGCTGCTGTTTAACCCAGGGGCCCAGCTTTTGTTTTATCCTACATACATACACCCCTCAATACACAAGTTTCGTCGGTGCTGCTAGCTAGCACTGCTGCTGCTGCTGCTGCTGCTGCTGCTGCTGCTGCTGCTGCTGCTGCTGCTGCTGCTGCTGCTGCTGCTGCTGCTGCTGCTGCTGCATGCGTGCTTCTGCTACAAGCCATGTGCCATTTCGTGCACGCCGTGCCCGGGCTGTTGGGCCGCGTCGCCAAACCGCAGCCTGCAGGTGCATTTTGTTGCTGCCTACTCTTGCCGTGGACGCGTTATCATTTGCGGGTGGCTCCCGCGTTTTGTCGCGCTGTTTCCATACTGCATCTTCAGCACCCTCCGTTTGTAGGAGCGCTAGCCGGTGCACGGACATGCTATCACTGACCAGCGCGGCCGGCTGGCCTGCGGTGTGCTCAGGCACTGGAGCGATGCAGGTGCCCTGCTGCTGATGGCAGTGCACCTCAGCTCGCCGTGGAGATCACGCAACAAACCCCCTTTTTTGCTGAGGCCACTATTGCAGACGGCAATTACTCGTGACATTGTAACGCTACTTAGCATGCATACAGCTTGGCTGCTGCGCTAGCAAAGCACGGCCGCAGTCGCCGCAAATGGCGAATTCGCGGCAGGGTTCCTCTGGGGTACTGACCCAGGCAGGTCAGTACCAATTGGGTTTCGGAGTGGGTTTAGGGTGCTAGTTGATGGCGGGGGGGGGGGGGCATTTATGCTAGATGGGCAGGTTTGGTGGGTTCACCCCCTTAAGGGCGTGCTGACGTCGCAAGCTCACACCCACGTGACCAGGTGTAAGGAGTGAGACCGCCCAAGGGACACCACGCTGGGTCAGGTCGTGCACACCTCAGAACTTGGCACATGCCGCTGTGATGTGGAACCAGCCTGGCACCAGCCCACCACTAAGGGGGTGCCAGCCAGCTGTATAAACCCTGTAGACATGAGTGACTGGTGGTGACGTCACCTCATGATATCCGATCACTCACCAAAAAGAGTGAGGGGCCCATGGCAGCTGCATGCTCTGTTGCACTCGTGATACAGCATACGGATATCATATAGCCTCTTTTCACGCGGTTTGGCTCGCTCCTGTGCAGCAACCACAACACGGGCTCCATGGTCAATCGATTTGCTTGATCCTCGCGCCACTCACTGCAAGGTGTGATCGGTACCGGCTTGTTCCCAGGGCCCAAAGCTGCCTTGCACCCAAACAATACAATTCCACGGCTCTCAATTTTCTGCTCGTGTCAGTCACCTGCTGCTGACTCCGATACCAGCTCCTGCGGCCGCGCAACGCGGGCACTCCCGCCGAAAATGGTCAGAATCAATGCCATTTCTGAGGCAGGTGTGGAGGAGAAATAGAGTGGCAGCAACGTGACAGGCCACAACGCATATGCAGTGGATCCGCCAGCTCCCCACACGTGCCTGCCCGCCGCGTGGTGCGGCACCACGCCTTGCTTTCCTGTGAATCTGCTACCCTGGGTTGCGTGATACGCCTGCACAGCGACGAGCGAGTGCAGGATCATGCTTGACGCTGGTCACAGGCGTTGCTTGGGAACATCGGTCGTGTATGCTGCATGTTAAGCAGCACCACTGGCGTCAGCCATTCAGATGTGAGGCCGCTGGCGGGGCTTGCACGCAAGCGCTGATGGGCGGTGGTATCACCAGACGTGTGCACGCGGGCGTAGTCCGCGCAGCACTTGCATGAACATTACCAAGGCAGCATGCAGCTTTACTGCATGACAATAGCGGTTGATGATAGCATGAAGGCAAAGCAAGCTGGGCTTTGAGCTCATAGGTCGACAATCCTAGACACAATCCGACAGCGCTTGCCAGGAGAGTGGTGATGTGACAATGCGAGTGATGTGCCACCGACAAACATCACGTTACGTGCCTATTATGCGGATCCGTTGGCTTTCAGATCAAAAAATATCATATCTCAGCTTCCTACCTTGGAGTCGTAGTCACTCGTCACCGTCTCACTGGGGGGGGTGCAGGAGCAGGAGTGGGGCAAGCAGCTCAGTGCACAAAGCGAATGGTTCTCCCTGCCCGTACACATTCCATAAAGATGCGCACAAATCAACTCAGCAATGTTACTTGACGATCACACGGTGCTTTCCACTCGCTTCGTGGCAAAACCTGCGAGCAATGTTGGGTGCAGGTTTGTTGTCACCCGATGTCACTGCAGGGGTGTCGATGGTGGCCGCATCCCTTGGAGGGCTTCGGATCTGGTTGCGACAACACGATCGTAGGCAAACCACGAGATCTTGTGCTGTTTCAAGCGGCGTGCTTTGATCCCAGGGCGGCTCACCATTGCGGCACTTGTCGATCTCATGCACAGCAGCAGGGTACCTCGTTTACAATTCTTTGCTTTCAATTGAACTGGAAAGAATAAGCCTGGGAGGAAGAACGGGTTCCCGTAGTCATAAGTAGACGGTGTTCTTGGCTGCGCTCCGGGCCAGGGAGTGCGCGTGAGTATCAAACGACTGCTTGCAACGTGCGGTGGGCGCACCTGGCTTGTCGCGGTCCTAGCTGACATCCTGGTGGCGGGCGGCCAACCCTGCAGCAGCAGCCGCCGCAGCCGCTGCTTGTGCTGCGATGCCGCTGCACAAACTATTCTCTAGACACTCACAGCAATCGAGTCATGGTGTACGCAATTCCCATCTCATTCCGTAGTTGATCAGCGGCACCTCCCAGCTGCGCTCGGGGAGCCAGCTGCGGACTTGACACGACGCCGGCACTGGCGGAGGCGGCCTGCCCGCCCGCAGCGCCCCGGCCCTTGAACAGCTGGGGGCGCCATGAGCGCCGCACCGCGCAAGGAGGTCACCACCCGCGAGGTGGTGGCCGTGAGGTTTGGCATGCTCACAGACGATGAGGTGCGGCCGGCGCCCCGCCTCAGACCGCAGCTGCTTCGCCGGCACGCGCAGCAGCAGGCCCTCGCTGCGCCCGCGCCGCCGAGGCCTTTGGCCACGCCTCGACGCCACCGAGGGCACGAGCAGGGGCGCGGACCAGCGCTGTGCTGCGTCGCGATGGCGCCCTCTGGCGACAGCAGCAGCCGCGCCCCAGGGGCCGTGCGCTCCTCCCAGTGTTGCCACCCACCTGGCCTGCACACACATGCGCACACGCACCCAGACACACGCGCGCGCACACACACACGCACACACACACACACACACACACACACGCGCACATCACCCGAGTGCGCCGCGCATCCGCACAGCCCACACCCCCCCTTTTTCACCCTGCGCGAAACACGCCCGCCGCGGCAGGTGCGCAAGCTGAGCGTGAAGCGCCTCACGTCGCCCATCACATACGACAGCCTCATGAACGTGGTGCCAGACGGCCTCTATGACCCGGCGCTGGGCCCGGTGGACAACCTGGCGCGGTGGGTGGGTGCGGAAGACGAGGGGACGGCGCGGGGGCGCGGCCCCGTCAGGCCTGATTTGGCTCGGCGCTGCAGCCGTCGTTCAGGGTCGCGCCGGCGTTCCCCTGGCGGCTGCCGTTGTTGAGTCGAGGGCGGCCCGATTAGGAGCAGCGGCAGGAGGCCGCAGCAGGCAGCGGGCGGCGCAGCTGGCGCTGTCCAAGTCCGTTGCTCGCGCATAGCGTTGGCGCGGCGCGCGTCGCCCACGGCGCCCTCCCTTGCGCGTGCGCGCCCGCGGCCCGCCCCCGCAGGTGCACCACGTGCGGCCTCAACAGCCAGCAGTGCCCGGGGCACTTTGGACACGTGGAGCTGCCTGTGCCGGTGTACAACCCCCTCGTGTTCACGTGAGGCCCACGCAGTCGTGGCTTTGAGGTGGCATTTGATTTTTTGGGGGAAACCGAGGAGTCTGTTTCAGTGTTGTGGTTTGCGGCGCGCTCGGCCGTGGGTTGGGGTCTCTGTGTCGTGGCGCTCAGCACCCCCAGCATTGTGCATCCCATCCTCCCTCACCTCACAAAGCGCAGGCAAACCGCCACCTTCTGTAACAAACGCACGCACACGCGCGCATGCATACATACACACACACACACACACACACACACACACACACACACACACACACACACAATCAAACACACACACAATCACACGCGTCCGCGGATGTTCCCACCCCACCAGGTCCCTCTACAAGCTGATCCGCCACACCTGCTTCAACTGCCACAACTTCAAGCTGGGACGCCCAGAGGTGCGGCCACCAGGGCCTCAGCCGCACGCTGCTGCAGACCCACACACCCGCGCCGCTCGCGCGTCCTCGCGCCGAAAATCATCCGAAAATCCTAATATATATATACATATATATTTTTTTTTGGGGGGACACTGCACCCACCATCAAACTCCTGCCGAAGCTCCTTCTTTTGACCCCTGCCGCCCGCGCGCCCCACCCACCCGTGCCGCAGGCGGCGCACTACCTGGCGCGCTTTGAGTGCCTGGCGCGCGGCGACCTGGCCGGCGCCGCGGACGTGAGGGGCGGGCGCGCGTCCAAGGCGGTGCGGGACGCGACAGAGTCGATCCTGGCGTCGCTGGAGGAGGGGGAGGGGCTGCTGCAGGAGGACGAGGTGGCGCGCGCCAAGAGGTGCGCGCGCCTGCGCGTGTGTGTGTGTGTGTTTGTGTGTGCGCGCGCACGTGCGTGCAAGCGTGCGTGTGCCTTCGCGCACACGTCACAAGAACCATTTGCAGGCTGCAGGGGGTTGAGGCCTGGCAGGGCTAGGGAATTCAGCTGTCCTGCCCGCAGCCTGGCATGGGGACGGCGTTCCGTGCGTCGCGCTGGACCGCGGCGGCAGGAGCTGGTGCTCGTGCAGCCGCCGGCATGGAGGGCCTGGCGGTGAGCGTCTCAGTGGATGGACTTGGGCTCAGCTCGGCAACTCACACGCTTTGGCGTGGTATCTGCTTCGTTCCATCGGCCTGCGCCACAGGCTGGCCAAGCAGGCAGCGGAGGAGGCCGCGGCGCACAAGCGGCCGCCGAAGCAGCCGCTGACGTGCCACATCCAGGTCAGCGCGGCGTCGCGGCGGCGCTTCCATCCCTGCAGGGTTCACTGCTGCGTGCACTCGTTGTTTAGGGTTGAGGGTTTAGCCCCCAGTCCGCGGTCGCTATGCTATGCGGCATTCGAGAGCTGCACACCCCTCTGGTCGCGTGCCGGCGCCGCACGGCGGCCTCCATTGCATGCTGTTCAAGACATTTTTGCAACAACATGGCTGCTAACGAGCCATTTCTGATTCTTGCCAACGCAAGAAAGCTTTTACGCCACTCACCAACAAACTCACTCACCCTGCCCCAAACCATCTCCCGCTGAGCAGGAGGCGACGCGCGACGCGGTGGCCGAGTTCTTCGCGCGCATGCCCGCGGTCAAGTGCGCCAACTGCAACGCGGTCAACCCGTCGGTCAAACGCCAGGGCGCGACCAAGCTGTTCCGGGAGTACTCGCGAAAGGCGCTCGTCCAAAACCTCATGCGCGGCGCTGACATGGGGGACGCATCCCTTGGGAAGCTTCTCAACGACTCATCCGCGATGGCGGCGGCGTCGGCCGAGGCGGGCGCGGCCGCGTCGCGCAAGGCGGCGAGGCGGGGGACCGAGGAGGGCGGCGGGTCGGACAGCGAGGAGGAGGATAAGGAGGGGCTGGAGGAGGGGGAAGATAAGAAGGCAGGAAGCGTCAAGGGCAGTGGCGGCAGCGACGATGATGATGGCAGCGATGACGAGGAGGAGGGGGGAGAGGAGGAGGGGACCAAGAAGAAGGGCGGCGCGGCCGGCGGCGGCGCCGGGAAGGCGGACGCGGCGGCAGGCGCCAAGCACTCGGCGGGGGCGGCGCGCATGTGAGCTTGGGCGTCGGCGGCGTCGAGGGCGGCGGCTGGCTTGTGGTGCTGGGCGCTACGGGGCGCGGCCGCCGCGCCGTCTGCCTCTTGGCTTCCTCCAGGCCTCATCACGCCATCAGTTTCGCCTGTTGCCGAATGTCTCTAATGCACAAACATCCCCCTGACCTGCCCCCAAAACAAAACTTCACCCTATCAGCGATGCCGAAGCTGGCCGCACGGTCTCCAATCATACTGCCAACCTTTGCCGCTCCAGGGGCGCCCTCCGCCACCCCAAATGCCCGGGCCCAGTCCAACCCGAGTCGCAACCCGCGACCCCCATCCCGGCCCACCGTCCCCCTTGTCTCCCTCCCCCACCACTCCCCGGCACACACGTCTCACACCTATCCACACCATCCCGCACCAACCCGCACCAACCCGCACCAACCCGCAC